CAATACACTGTGAGGAAGTATCCGGCGGGAACGTCTTTATTGCAACTCGGTGGCCAGGGGGCCAGTTTGACCTTCAAGATTTTCCCGGATAACAAACAAGGTGCGAGCCTCGGGAGGGGCACCTTAATCGGCAAAAATACAATGTGCGCCGGAGAGGGGGGGATCAACCACAGTTTTTGTCCAGAAATCAGAATCCCACCAGCCCTCTGGGCGTAGGTGGTCTAGAACAGATCCTCTTCCACCCCTCCCTCTTCGCCCTTGGGGAGGGGTTTACCCCTCCCCCTACCCCCTCCCCTGGACCTGGACGGGGGGTTCCCCGAGCGGTCGGACGGCTCTTTTGGCCCCAAGATGGCTTCAAGAGCGCGTCAGAGAGCCCAAGATGAGCTCCAAGATGGCTCAAGATAGCGCAAGATCGCTCGAGATGGCTCCTAAGATGGTTCCAAGAGGCCCAAAGACGGCCCCAAGACGGCTCCAAGTGGCCAAAGAGCTCCCCAAGGAGGCCCCGAAGAGGCCAACATCGTCCCAAAACCTTGAGATTATCCCGGCAAAGCAACCTAACAGCGATGTGTAGAGCATATCTGGAAGCATTCCCCTTAAGATTCAGATGAGAATCCAGTTGTAGAATTGTGCTGTTCTCGCAGTCGTAGTCGCATTCGCGATGACAGTCGCAGTGGCAACGGCAGTCACAGACACAGCCTCAGCCTCAGCCTGCCTCAGCCTCAGCCTCAGCCTGCCTCAGCCTCAGCCTCAGCCTGCTTCGCCCTCAGCCTCAGTTGCCTTCAGCCTCGGCGTCCGCCTCAGGCTGCCTCAGCCTCAGCCTGCATCCTCAGCCTCTCAGCCTCAGCATCAGCCTGCCTCAGCCTCAGTGGCCCGGGAATGGAGTTCTGGGAACTCGAAGAACACGAAGTGGCCTACAGTTGGCTCCGGGCATTCAAAATCATGCCCAGGAATGGATTTCTGGGAACTCGAAGACCACGAAGTGGCCTACAGTTGGCTCCGGGCATCCAAAATGTGGCCCGGGAATGGAGTTCTGGGAACTCGAAGAGCACGAAGTGGCCTACAGTTGGCTCCGGGCATTCAAAATGTGCCCGGGAATGGAGTTCTGGGAACTCGAAGACCACGAAGTGGCCTACAGTTGGCTCCGGGCATCCAAAATGTGGCCCGGGAATGGAGTTCTGGGAACTCGAAGACCACGAAGTGGCCTACAGTTGGCTCCGGGCATTCAGGGAAGTGTGGCCTCCGGGATTCAGAATGTGGCCCGGGAATGTTCTGGGAGGTCGAAGAGCACGAAGTGTGTGACTGTATGCGAAAAACGATCCCGGCCGGCAAACCCCAACACCTCCCCAACGGCTGCCCAGACCCCCTGTGGAGTCATCTGATGCTCTCTTTTGAGACCACTAGAAACCTATCAGTCTTCGCTGTTAGGTAAAAATCAATGTTTTTTTGCTTTCTCCCCGTTTCGCTTCCGATGGCCATCCAAGGCCTCAAGATGGCTCCAAGATGGCTCAAGAGGGCCCCACAAGAGGCCCAAGAGAGCCCCAAGACGGCCCCAAGAGCGCCCAAGAGCGCTCCAAGAGCGCCCCAAGAGCGCCCCAAGAGGCGATGTTTGGAGCTCCTGAGGGGGGAGGCTAATTAGGGGACCCCCCTTCGTTGATCGATCTCCTCCAAGATGGCCCCAAGAGCGCCCCTACAGCCCCCAAGAGCGCCCCAAGAGCGCCCCAAGAGGCGCCCAGACGGCCCCAAGAGGCGCCCAAGAGGCCTCCAAGAGGCTCCCAAGAGACCCCCAAGAAGCCTCAAGAGGATCTCCGAAATGCATTTAAGACGCTTCTGGCTCTTCGGTTCGACGTCCTCTTCAATTTCTCATCCCCCTCTTCCTCCTCCTCCTTCTCCTCCTTCTCCTCCTTCTCCTCCCTCTGCTCTCCTTCTCCTCCTTCTCGTCCTCCTCGTCCTCTCCCTACTCCACATCCTCCTCCTCATTCTCCTCCTCCTCCTCCTCCTCCTCCTCCTCCTCCTCCTCCTCCTCCCCCTCCCCCTCCGACGAGGATTCCTTCTCCATCCTCCCCCTCTTGGGCTACGTGACAGCTTCCCCCGCCCTTTGTTATTCTGCATGCTCCCCGACTTCCCTGATCACCTCAACTCCCCTGGGCATCGTTTCTGGATGGGCTGGTGGGGATACGCGAAGCGTCAACAATTCAGCCATCATTTTTATACTGCTGGCTCCCATCTGCTCGCGTGCAATTCAACGCGTATATCCCAACTCCTCGGTACGCCCTCTTCGTCTTGGATCGTACCCCCTTGGGGGTAATTCTATCTTCCTTACGCGCCACGTGCATGTAGCGCAGCCCCTACAACAGGGGAAGAGAGGACGACGAATGGAAGGGGGAGGGGAACAGGAGTGAACACAACAGAAATCAGCAGGAGAGGGAATGCCGGCCCAGGCGGCCAGGTCGAGCAGGCGGGTTGTTGAAGCGTGAGTCCTACATGAATCGCGAAGCGGTCTCGAGCGACAGCGCGATTCCTAAGTAAATCGTGAGAGAAGCAAAAGCGCGAGCGTGGTTCCTAAGTGTCGAGGGCGCGGCGTCTGAACAAATTGCGAAGAAATCCCACGTGAGAGTGCGATTTTTCATACATTGGAATACATGGTGGATAACCATCAAACAGGAGCCGTTTACTTTTCACCTCTCCATAAGAATTGTTGTTGATTCCTCACCTCCGGTGACCATGATAATTTTTGAAAAAATGCTCGTCCTAGGGCTCGCACCCTGTTTGTGACCAGGGAAGGCAGGGTGGCACCAAACTGGGTTGTTGGTCCCCGAACTACAGCAACAACAAACAACAACGGCTCCCGCATCATATTTCCTCACAAGTTCTTCCCAAATCGAGCTATCTCGCGGGACCTCCTCACAATGTGTGCACGAATCGCGCTTTCGCGTGGGACTTCCTCGCAGGTAATTCAGACGCCGCGCCCTCGATACTCGGCAATCGCGCTCTCGCTCTTGCTTGTCGTGCGATTTACGTGGGAATTGCGCTGTCGCTCGAGACCTCCTCGCGATTCATGTAGGACTCACGCTTCAGCAGCCCGCCTGTCCGGCCTGGCCGATTGGGCCCGCCTTACCGACCCGCCCGTTAGGATTAGCCCGTGTGTTCTTTCTTCGGCCGTTTGAATACGCGACCCCAACACATGTCCAACTTTATCGCAAGCGTCCATTGCGAATCGGCGTGGCGGCCGACCGTCCACGTAGAGCCACAGAAGGGGTGGTCCCAACTTTTTTTTCATTGCCCAGGAGGAGGGCGACAGTCCACCAGGGCACCAGCGACAGGGCCCGCACCCCCAATACACAACAGGAAAGGGGAACGTAGAAACAGAGAGAGAGAGAGAGAGAAAGATAAATATAGAGGAGGGAAGAGAGCGCCCGAAGGAACTGGAGGGCGGAGGAGGCGGGACCGCGGCCGCGGGGCGTGAGCCACCCAACCTAACTGTTAGGCGCGGCCGCGCCCCCGCGCGACGCAAGGGGCGGGGAAGGAGAGGAGTGGGATACTTGAAGGCAAGGAGCGGCGGCGGCGCAGGAGGGAGAGGAGAAGAGCGGAGGAATGGGGGAGGGCACAGCCCGCTTTGTGTAGGGCGGCGGCTCTGCGGCGCTGGAGGGCCAGCTGCGTCTGGGCGACGCAGCTGGCCACTTTGCACGCGCGAGTGAGTTCTACGCTCTGCTGGTCGCCAGGCTACGTCTGGGCCTGACGGGCCAGCCGCTGGCGGGCTTCACCCCCGAGGCGGCCCGGCGCCTCCGCCGCCAAAGGCGCGAGGCGATCGCCTGGGTGGCGCGCGTGCTTTCTCGCGTTCGGCTGCGCGCGCTGCCTCGCCAGGCCCGCTGGCGGCCCTGCCCGCGACGCACTCTGCCGCCGGGTGGCGCGCGGTCGCGTTAAGCCAATGCCGCCCCGCCCCCGTCGAATTATTCAATGTCGAGGATAGCGCGCTCCAGGTCGGCGCCCGGCGGGTCGTCTTGCCGCCGCTCGCGCTGGCGGCCCCGCGCGGGGACTCTGGGTTCGTGGTGGGCCGCCGCTTGACGAGGCCGGCCGCGGGGTCCTCGAGCCCCCCGTGGCGCGCCACCACCTCGCCCCCCTGGGTGCAGATGGCGGCGCGGCGCCCCTGTCAGTGGAGCCGAGCAGGCAGTTGCGGCTGCGCCAGCCGCAGCCCCGCGGTTCCTGTTTTGGCGCACGGCGGCGGCCGCGGCCGGCTCTGCCCGCAAGTCCTGCGCGCCGTCGCCCGGGCGCGTGGCGCTGACGCGCTCGTCTTTCATCTTCCATGGCGCCGCTCGGGCGCGGCGGGAAGGTCGCCCCCCCCGGGGCCGCCGGCGCCCTGCTGCAGGGCTCTCGCGTGAACTGGCAAGCGCTGCCACGCGGCCGCGCGGGTGTTCGATTGCGCGGGTTTCCCGATTTTGCCCTGCGTGAACGGGGGTTCTGG